ACTCTATCATCTCTTTTAAAAGAACATTAATCCCACCCTGGCTCAGCTGGTTGGAGTGTCATCCCGTACACTGAAAGGATGCAGGTTTGATTCCTGGCTGTTAAGCCCAGATTTCAGGATACCCAATAGACCACCAGGGAGCCAGCCAAGTCCGATGCAGAAGCAGAAAGAGTCTTTATTCGAGCTAGCTTTGGTTCCCGACCACACTCGCCCAGACAGAGCCCTGTAGGAAGAGAGATTTTATGGGGGGTTGGAGTAAGGGAAGGAGAGAGGACTGTGGGCCCTGTCGATTGGCCAGGTGCAAGTCGGGGTCTTGTTACACAGGATGTGGTTGTGTCTATGGCGTGCGCTTCCCTTGATTGTCATTGGTTAGTTTAAAGAGCAGAGGCTTGGGCTTCCAGGAAGAAGCTCCTTGCCGAGCACATGGCTAATGGCTGCTGCCTAAAAATGGAGGATTCGGAGAAGATGGAGGGCGTAGCCCTCACCCTTTCACTGGTCAGGTTACATAACTAGGTTTTGGGTTTGATCCCTGGGTAGTCTATGTATAGGAGGTAACCAATCAATGTTTCTCTCTCACATTGATGTTTCTCTCTCTCCCCCTTCCTCTCTAAAAATCAATAAAATTATATCCTAGCGTGAAGATTAAAAAAAAAGAGGGTGTGGATTAATCCCATTAGTGATGGCTCTGTCCTCATAATTTAATTATTTGCCAAAGTCCCCACCTCACAATAATAACATATGAGGATTAGGTTCAACACATTCAGTCTATATCATTCTAGTTTTGGCCCACCAAATTCATTCTTCTCACATGCAAAATACATTCATTTCAATATACACACACTCTGTTAGGATATTTTTTCATGATGTAGTACTACTTCCTTGTAATATTTTTTTCTGGTTTTGGTATGTGGATAATTCTAGTCACACAAATATTTATAGCAAGAATTTATTGCAAGAATGTTTCTGTATTTTTTGTTTTTTAAATCAAACTTTTAATACATTCTTTCCAAACTATTTTAGTAACTAAAGCTTTCTGAAATGTCTCCATGTATTGTAGTACAAGTCCTTATGAGCTCTTCCAATATAGGCCTAAGAGCCCAAATTCATTGTCTGTGGCTATATGTTTTATACCTTACAATTATTAAATGTATTTCATCTCTAGTATAGACTCTAGCTTTTGGTAAAACATGTCAAATTCGTGGTAAAATATATTTCAGTCTTAAAGTCTAGTTTGTCTAAATTCTTCAAAATGCACACATAATTATGATACACTTAGGAGGTTAATGAGGCAGTTTCTCTTTGTAAATGTCACTGTTATAATCTGACTTTAGAAATGAGGAAAATGGACAATAATCAGTTACCATCAATCAATTGACCTCTGAATACACACCATAAAGCTTAAATGCTATAATGGAAAAATATCCTTCCACATAATTTGGGGAAAAATAAAGATAGATAAAATATCTGGCACCCACTAAAATATGATCAGATTAAAAGCCCTGTACAGACCTCCTTTCTATCAATGGAACAAACAAGATCCTACATAATAATAATCTGCCTAATGAACATTCCTGAAAACACACACACATACACACACACACACAAAACAAAACAAAATAAAATCAAGTGTTTTTTTTTATTTTTCAAGTAAATTTTGCTATGAAAATCTATGAAGATAGTCAAATGCTGTAGTCAAGTGAATAAAGTTTCAGGAAAACTCAATTTTTTTTATACAAAACTAGAGGCTCGGTGCATGAAATTCATGCATGGCTGGGGGGCGGGGAAGGTCCTTCAGCCTGGCCTACACCCTCTCCAATCTGGGATCCCTCTCGCAATCCGGAATCACTGGCTCCTTACCGCTCACCTGCCTGCAAGCCTGATGGCCCTAACTTCTCTCACCTGCCAGCCTGATCCCCCTAACTGCTCTCTCCTCTTGGCCTGAGCCCCCAACTGCCTATCTGTGCTCCCCTCCTGGCCTGATCCCCCTAACTGCCTATCTGCACTCCCCTCCTGGCCTGATCGCCCTAATTGCCTATCTGTGCTCCCCTCCTGGCCTGATCACCCTAACTGCCTATCTGCTCTCCCTTCCTCTCCATGCCTTTCGGACTTCTGGCACAGGCATGCTGAGAGCTCTCCACTGTGGGGCTACCCCTGTCCTGATTGATCCTTACATGATGGCATCCCGGCCAATTTGCATATTCCTCTATTATTAGTATAGATGATCACCTCCAACAATTTATTCCTGATTTCTCTATATTTTGGCAATGGACAAGCTGGATTAGACTTTTGGAAAGTAACTGAAATCATGGTGATCCAAATATGTAACAAATAAATTGCATTCATTAACAGCAAGTCTCTAATATCATTCTACCCTTTTATAGGGCACCTTTGCATTATTCCTTGTAAAATGAGAAAGTATGCAAAATTCAGCCTACCTTAAATCTAGTGACAAAAGTTTGGACAGTATAAGGCAGCACATTTCAAAGTGTGGTCTGGAAAACCCTGGTTGTCCACAAAATCTTTATAGGGTTCAAACACTGTTCATTATAATGTTAACATGGTGTTTATCTTTCTGATCATTCCCTCACAAGTATAGAGTTTTTAAGAGACTTCACGGTATGTGATAATTTCAGTGAACTGAATATAGAAGGGTTTGAGAATGAAGCTTACTTCTATCAAACCAGACATTAAATAGATATGCAAGAAGTAAAGCAAGGAAGCTAGCTGATCTGTGTGGTAATGGATTGGACACATTAGCATGAAGCTATGGTTGGCTTAATATGTAGACACAGATGGTTACAAATACAAACATGTATAAATATGTGAACATACACTGATTAGTGTACACATATATAATTCTTTGCTATGTTAGCAGAGAGGACCAAGAAGCAATCACACAGTCTTAGCAACAAGCACACATAGCACCCAGATCTTGGTTTCTAATACCATTCTCCAATACATGAGCCAAGGCTTACGGTAAAAAAGGCTGATTCTAGGACTAGGGCAAAAAGTGTTCTAGTGACTTTCCTTACGTTAGGTTTTGAGCATTGACAGCCTTTGAGCGAAGATGTAATAAAACCAGGGGTGATCAAGAGGTCAACTAAGGCTTTAGTTACTAAGACAAAGGGGTGCAATGAAAAGTTATTGGCAAAAACAAACAAACAAGGTTTTTGATGTAAACTGGCCTGATTCTTAAAGTAGCAATGATATAATGTTGTCTGAAAAAGGCAGTTGGTCCAGAGATTAACAGTGTCAAATAGTGTCTGTCTAATATATTTTCTATTTGTTTATCAGTGAATTAATTGAGTCAACAAATTGGTGGGTGCTTATGCATGCTGAGCATTGTTCTTAGATATTGTTAACATTATGAGACTTAATTCATATCCTCATGCATCTCAAAAACCTAAAGAGAAAAATTGAAACATTATTATTCTTCAATGCATCTATTACCTGGCCTAATCTTTGTAATTTTTATTAACATTGGCAAAGCATCTATTAAGAGACGTATTTTTTTTCACTGGTAGGGTTAACCACCAGTAGAAATCTATCCAAGTGGAAAACTAATAGAAATAAACCTGTGGTCAATGAAGTAGGCATGTCCCTTAGGGCTGCCAAGAAAGATGTCCCAACTCTGAGTGCTCTAATGGAGAAAGTAGACAAAGGGTAAGGAGCCGCCAACAAAGCTCATTACCTTATGTATGTCCTTAAAAGCCCTTTGCTTTTTGATCTTTCTGTGATTTCAGAGAAAGAATTTTCACTGAGATGGCATGATATTGAAGGAAGGGAACTCAAAGTAAACTATTTGTTTTACCTGGCAGAGTGTCAAATAGAAATTCCAAGTAACTTGCTTGTCTTTGGTTAACATATATATATATAAAGCTTAATGCAATAAAAGACACAGTTGGACATCTTATGTTGTTATTGGTCAAGTATATATGAATTTGTTGTTTTCTTTTTCTTTTAAGGGTATGTTATTGTTGTTCAGGTTTGAAAAGAAAACCATGAAGCTCTTGATATTTGAAACTGCTAAAAATAATCAGGGTGTTTTTTTTTTCTGCCAGATGACAGAAAGTTCATATTTGTGACGCAAACCTTATGATTCCATGCAATTCAAACTTCACAAATGGAAGTGTCATTGTAATCAGTGATCAACTTTAATTCATGCAAAAATATAGACTAATATGTCAGGTTGTTCTCCCCAATAGTTTTCAAACAAGTTGTTAAATATACAGGATTTTAACAGAAAAAATTTTGAGATTTTGGCAGGAAGAATATTTTATGTTATTTGTTAGCATATGTAGTCACTTGCCAATAAAAACAAGCAAAAAATAAAATTATGAGTGTTTAAACATTAAATGTATTCTTTACTCATGAAGCCATTACTTTTTCAGGAAGATTCCCCTGTAAAACTATTTATGTACTTGATTTCCAACTTAAAGAAACCATAAAGGATTTCGAAAGATTTAAGAAATGTCTAGACTCCAACTGGGCTGAAGGTAAATTACTTTTAGGTTTCGTTTAAATGTCTGAATTTACTTTGTGTTAAGACAATGAGTGTATCTTTTTGACATTCCCATGTAAAAGTGATATATTACCTTGTTGATATATTTTGAGAACTCGTTTCCCAAATCAATTGCTGCATACAAAGTGTCAGAAGCTGTGTGGGTCATTCCAGTAGTGCTATCTAGTATGGCAATTACCATTGGCTAGCATTTTATGGTAGTCTACCATCGTTCACTATAATCAATCTAGTTTTTGCATTTATTAAGATTTTGGTAATTCCTTCTGCAATTTTATTTTATTTTAACTAAGGGTTGGGAGGCTCGTATAATACAGAAAAAAGAACAAGCATGTGTTTTCTGTCAGTTGGAAAATATATGCACTTAGGGATGAGGGAAATAAATATAGGCTAGACTGGACTCAATCAGTATGAAATTAATTATGAAAACCCTTTAGTATGTAATCTATTTCTTCCTGAAAAAAGAACTCTATTTCTGTACTTGGATTGCATTGAGATATGACTCTGGTTTTTGATCTGGAGTCGATGAGGGATAGAAGAGATGTATTTTGAGGAGGGTAAGCATTATTCCTTAGGAAAGTCCTTTGCAGGACATTCAGGCAAGGGAAAGCTACTTTTCTCTAGAAAGAAGTAAAAGCTGCTTCTCTTGGTCAAGAAGATCCTGGGAATCTGTCAGTTGAAGATTTTCAGAATTCTCTAGTGAAACATCTTTTTCTGAGGTCTCAGAATCACACAACTTTTTATTAGGGTCACAGGATACAAGGTTAATATAAAAAATCAATTATATTTCTTTACATGTCAATAAACTATTGAAAATTAAAATTAAAACAGTGTAATTTATAAATTGCCAAAGAATGTAAAATACTTAGATATACATGTAAAAAACTGTGTGAGATCTGTATGCTGAAAATTGCAAAACACTGATGAAAAATCAAACCACTAATTCAAAAGAGATATATCATGTTTAATTATTGGAAGACTCAATATCTTCAAGATGACAATTATTCCCAAATTGCATTATAGATACAATGCAAATTTCAACCAAAATCTTACCTTTTAAAAGTAGAAACTGACACATTGATTCTAATGCAGAAGGAAAAAGAATGAGAATTATCAACACAATTCTATAAAACAGAACAAACTTGGAGAACTCATTTTATCTGACTTTAAGCCATAAAACCGCAATAATCAATATTGCATAGTATTGGTGAAAGAGAGACAAAAATGAAAGGGAGATTTTAGATTCTAGAAATACACCAACATATGTATGGTATTTGATTTTTGTCAAAGACAAGTCAATGGAGAAAGGGTAATCTTTTTAACAAGTGGCACCAGATCAGCTGGTCATCCATTTGCAAAACTCAAATTTTGACTATAATTTGTACCATGTATAAAAATTAAATCAAAACTGGTTATAGATCTAAATATAAAACCTCAAACTATAAAACTTCAATAAGAAAACACTATAACCATGCAAGGATTTCTTAGATACAAAACCAAGGAATGTTTGATAGAGAAAAAGAAAATGACACAATGGAATTCATTAAGATAAATTCTTCTCTTTAAAAGAGACTGTAAGGGGATAAAAAGACACGCTACAGAGGGGGACAAATGTTTTCAAAATACATATCTGATAGATTCATGTAGCCTACATACTATTTCATTCCTCTTATATGACATTCTATAAAGGCAAAATGCATAGGTTACAGAAGACAGATTAGTGCTTGTCTTAGGCTGGCATTTCCCAGAAGGGTTGGTTATCAAGGACAATAGGACAATTTGGGGGGATGATAATACTTTTCTATAGTTTTTATATTGGTTTCAAGACTCTATGCATTTTTCAAAACTTGAAGAATTAAACTCTAATAGGCACATTTTATATTTAAATATGCTTATTTTTAAAAAAAAGAAAACTAAGAGAGATGACACACAATTATGCAATAACATAAGCCTAACTCAATCTTTAATAAATCTTCCCTCTCGCTTTGACCTCTGGTGAGCTATCTTGCTTGGCACATACAGAGGCAGAGCTGCCTCAAACAGATTGTCAAACTGCAGCCGGAAGGCCAGGGAGAGTTGGGGGGCAGGAGGGAGGTGGGTAAGAGATCAACTGAAGGACTTGTATGCATGCATATAAGCATAACCAAAGGACATAAGACACTGCGGAGTAGGCGAGGCCAGGGGATTGTCAAGGGCGGGGGGAAAAAAAAGGACAAATATGTAATACCCTTTGTAATACTTTAAGCAGTAAAACAATAAAAAAAAAAAGGGAAAAAAAAGTTCTGGGTGGAATACTACATGAGTTTGCTATAATGTTTTGTATTTTGACCTGGTCAATTTATCTAAATGCAATTTAGTTTGTGGCTTATATGTCTCAAAGGAACTGTGGGTTACCCTGGAGTTTTGCTTTGGATTTCTACTGAAGAAGGTAAACAAGGTTCTAGCCATGATTTTTGAAAAATATTTAGTCTTATTTATGATCACTGTAGTTTTCAAGAAAAGATGACATTTTAAGCAGCAATCATTTGATACGTTAATGGTTTTCTTGTTTTTGAGTAGATATTTTCACTCAGCTACCAACTAACTATGGAGAGAAAATAAATAAACAGTTTCCTATAGAATTTACTATACTAATTAAAATAAAATGTAAAAAAAATTCAAAATGTTTAATTATGTTAAAAGAGGGTGTAATGACCTGGAGAGTTATTTTTATACCACCTTACAAAGGGTTATTAAAGTAAGCAAGTCTAGGGACAAACAGTTAAAAATTATAAAAATTGGAATTATACAGTTCCAATTCTATACCTCAGGGTGAAATAGATTTTTCCCAGCTTTATTGAGATATAATTGACATATAACATCATGTAAATTTAACACATACAATGTAAGGGTTTTATACACATAAACATTGCAAAATGATTACCAAATAAGGTTAGATAACACATTTATTACTTCACATAATTACATTTTTTATGTGTAGATGGTGAGAACATTTAAGACATAACTCTTTTAGCAACTTTCAAGTATACAAAACAGTATTGTTAACTATAGTCACCATATTGAATACTAGATCCTCAGAAGTCATTCACTTTATAACTGGTAGTTTTACCCATTAAACAAAATCTCCTCTTTATCCCCACACACCCCAACCCCTGGCAGCTACCATTCTACCATCTGCTTCTATGAGTTTGGCTTCACTTCAGATTCCATATAAAAATGAGGTCATATAATATTTCTCTGTCTGACCTATTTCACTTCGCATAATGACCTCAAGGTTCAGCCATGTTGTTGCAAATAGCAAGATTTTCTTCTTTATTGCCAAGTAAATTTAAATATAAGATATATAAATTGTGTACATAAAATATTGTACATGTGCAATGTTGAGTATCTTTTTATATAATATACTACTAGAGGCCCGATGCACAAAATTTGTGCAAGGGGCTTGGTCCTTGCAGCCCTGGCTGCCTCATGGCCCCACCCCCCACCCACTGGTCATTCTGGAAGGTCATTCTGGAAGGTTGTTCCGGAAGGTTGTTCCACCATCTGGTCTAATTAGCATATTAGCTCTTTATTATATAGGATTGGCCATTTGTATGTCTTCTTTGGAAAAATGTCTATTAAGGTCTTCTGCTCCTTTTTATTAATTGGATTTTTTTGGGTTTTGGTTTTGCTATTGATTGTATGACCTCTTTATATATTTTGGATATTAACCACTTTTAATGCGAATAACAGTAATAAATTATACTTGAGGTATCTTTGAGAAAGCTTTGTACTAATTCTGCTTCATAAAAGAATTGTAACCCTATTTCCTTAGGTTAAAGAATTAAGATGCAAAACAGGACCAACATTGAAAAAAGACTAGTACAAGGAATCACATTCTAGTTAGAAAACTGTTCATATCAATTAGGAGAGAAAAAGCGTGATTTTTATAAATCTCTCAGATTGCTTAGATTCACATTTTGTTTTGAAGAGAATTATTGATTGGCTGCCTCCCACATACCCCACATTGGGGATTGAGCCCACAACTTGGAACTGATGTGCTGATGTGCTGTGACTAGAAATTGAACCATGACCTCCTGGTTCATAGGTCGATGCTCAACCACTGAGCCACACTGGCTGGGCTACTTTTTGTTTTGAAAATGTGCAACCAACCAATTTACTGGAAGTGTTATTGGAGGTTTGTTCTTTCTTTTAATTGTAAATCAATCATCCTTGAAAGTTAGAGCTCATTTTAACATTGATGACATTTCATTTTAAAATACTAACTTGCAAATGATGTTTTTCTCAAAATATCCTTTCTGTGATATTCTATTTTCCTGTTATCTCCTTCATTAGAAGATTAGTGATATTTGAAGGTCACATTTGCAGGACATGGAGCAGATCATGGAATACATTTGCATTTGAACTGGTGAACTACCACCTATGCAGGTGATAGAAAGACAGCAGATTAATAAAAACATCTTCACAAATCTAAAAAGATATAGAAATGGAAAAGAAAATGTCAGATTGACATTTACATCTTCCGTTTGAATATTTTAATTATCCTTCACTTCTCATAAGCTGTCATTTTACATTTCCAATCATTATATCTCAACACAAAAGGTATAAATCTGTTCTTCCACAATATCTATTTTATGTGCATTTATTTATCTTCTGAAAGGAATTTGTAAATAGCTGTGTTGCATCTCAGATTTATTGCTTAAAGGACATACTATTATGTTTTCTTTTCTTTTAAAAAAATATGTTTTTACTTATTTCAGAGAGAGGGAGAGAGAGAGAGAGAAACATCCATTGACTGCCTTCTGTACACACCCTATTGGGGATTGAGCCTACAACTGGGACATGTGCCCTGATGGAGAATTGAACTGTGACCTCCTGGTTCATGGGATGATGCTCTACTACTGAGCCACACCAACTGGTCAATCATGTTTTCTTTTTGATATGTAATATACCATTTTTAACAAAACATTCTGAATTTTTATGTGTTTAAAAATGTGAAGATTTGCCGTAGCTGGTGGGGGTGTGCAGGAGGCAGCTGATCAATGTTTCTCTCATCGATGTTTCTAACTCTATCCCTCTCCCTTCTTCTCTGTAGAAAAATCAATAAAATATATATTTTTTAAAATGTGAATACTTTATAATAGAGAAAACCTATAAACTGCATTTTGTACTTTTTTTTCAATCTATAAGATAACTTTAAGAAATTATATTTTCATATTGTGGTCTTTAACATAACAAGTATGAATTAAATTTGTTATTTGCAGCTATAGTAGTATAGCACTTACACCCTACTTGTGAGATGATACCAGATTAAGACTTTTAAAAATATTTTGATGTGTTTTAATATTTTCATAATTTAAAATATTTTACATAATTAACCTATATAAAGCAAAAAAACTGATGGTATTGCAAGGAGTTCACAAATCCACTATATTATTTGGAACCTTCAAAACCTTCCTGTTAGTAATTGATAGATACAGTGGAGTGAAATCAGTTAAGGACACCAATGGCCTGCACCATCAATTAACTTGATCTAATTGACCTTTATAGAATATTCAATCCAGCAACAGCACAGAATAGCAATCCTTATCAAGTTGTCATGGAATATTCACTAGGAAAGATCACATTATGGAACATACCTTAAAACATACCTTAAATATTTTAAAGAATAAAAATCAAAGTATGTTATAAGATCTCAAGAGAATTAAACTAGAAATATGTTATAGAAGGTGAAAGGTGGAAGTCAGTGGTGTGCACAGGCAGGCTAAATAGCCACCTCAGACAGTTATTAAGGAATTTATTTAAGGAAAAGGAATGGGGGATAGAGCTATCCAAAGGGAAGGACTACACAGCAATGAGTCAAAGGGTAGTGGGTTCACTATGGCAGCAAAAATCTACATTAATAAAAGACAAAGATGCTAATTGACCATACCTTCACTACACCCTAAGCCATGCCCATCAGCCAATCAGAGTGACTATATGCAAATTAACCCAACCAAGATGGCAGCAGGCAGCCACAGAGCTGGAGCAATCAGGAGGCTTGGTTGCCCAGGTGATGGAGGAAGCCAAGCTGCCCACTAGCCCTGAGCTGGCTGAGGCCTCCGCTCATGGCAACAAAGTTTCAATTATAGAAGACAAATAAATCCCAGATACCTACTTCCAGCCAGCCTCCACTGAGAACTTGGGTGTCTGGGAGTTGTAGCCAGCCCCTCACCCAGGCTGGCCACACCCTCATGGGGTGAGTGTCCCCACTGGGGGGCTTGGCCAGCCTGCAAACTGCTATCAGCCACTCACCCAGACAGCCCAGGCACCTCAGCAGGACCCCCCTCACCCTGAAGGGGGTGTGGTCAGTCTTAAAACAGCCCTCATCTCCTCACCCAGGCTGGCCAGGCACTCCTATATAATAAAAGGGTAATATGCAAATTGACCCTAACAACAGAAAGATTGGGAATGACTGGTCACTATGACACACACTGACCACCAGGGGGAAGATGCTCAGTGCAGGACCTTCCCCCTGGTGGTCAGTGCACTCCCACAGCAGGAACTCTTTGTGCACCGGGCCTCTAGTATACTTAGAATAGTAGAACAATGAAGGGCATAGAAGCAGCAACAGGAAAGTCTATGCTGGGCCGCTTTGGCTCACTGAGAAGTTAGAGGAAAGGGGGGCCTTGGAGACAGGTTTAGGGGGTTAGCCTGGGACAACCTAGCACTGCCCATTTCTCCCCCAGTTGCAAGTCTTGTGGGGTCCCTTAGAGAAAAGAAGGGGGAAGGAAATGGGGCTGGTGTGCTCCTCTGGGGGAGAGTGTGCACTGGATCCTTCCTTCTGAGAGTACTCATCTCCCTCTTGAAGGGGGAAACCTTAAGGGAGATCTCAGGGGAGTGTCTCAATAGAATAGTCAACAGCTTTCCAGGTTTGCTCTTTCAGTTTCCTGCTCTCCACTGATTGTTTGGTGCCAGGGCAGGGGGGCATTAGTCAATGTAACTGGTCCTGAGGCAGTCACAGCATCACTTGTCTGGGTTTGCTGCTTTTCTGGGCCTGGAGTTGAAATACAACTGAGGCCTAGATGTTACCTTAAGGGAGGAAAAGGTCAGGGGATCTAAACTGCCTTACCAGCGATATGAGAGGTCAGGGGTCCAAACCGCATAACCAGTGGTATGCTAGAGGAGGATAGGTTACCCGGGGGGCGAGGTTCTCGTTTTCACAGTGTTGCCTCTTGCTAGGCATCCAGGGCTTTCGGCTCTGGTGAGTTTTTGTACCTGGCCCATGGTCCTTGCTCTGCTCATGTCTGTCAGGATAGCTGGAAGATCTCCATATGTTTAGCAAATAAGCAACACATTTTTATATAACTCACAAGTCAAAGAAAAAATTACAAAAGAAATTTGAAAAATATTTTGAATTAAATGAAAACACAGCCTATCAAAATGTGTGGGATGAAGTTAAATCAGTTTTTAGAAGAAAATGTATAATATTGAGTATATGTATTAGAAAATATAAAAAGGTCTAAAAATTGATAACATAAGTTTACACTTTAAGAAATTAAAAAATGAAGAGAAAATTAACATAAAGAAGGAAAAAATAAAAGTTATGTGGAAAATAAGCAAATAAAAACCAGGAAAACAACAGATAAAACTAAAAGTTAGTTCTTTGAAAAGACCAATAACATTAATAAATCTCTAGCCAAGCTAACTAAGGAAAAAAAGAAAGGGCACAAATTACCCATAACAGAAATGAAAGAAGGGTCATTACTTCTGATTTCATGAACATTAAAATAATAATAAAGGAATACTATCAACAACTCTCTACCTTGAAAGACACAAAGATAGACACCTGGAGTAGCTACAGTAAGCAAGATTGTGTGGTATTGATAAAAGAATAAACACATAGATATATAGAAAAGAACTGAAAGTTCAGAAATAAACCCATACAAATATAGTCAACTGTTTTTTATTTTCCCAAAAGGCACAAAAATAATTAAATGGAGAATAATTTTCAATAAATGGTACTAGAATGTTGGAAATTCATATGGGCAAAATTGAATCTAAACATAGAGCTTACACCTTACACAAAAATTAACATAAAATTGATTATAGATCTAAATGCAAAACTAAGAAAATTTAGGGAAAAAAACAAACAAAAGCCCATAGTACTTTGGTTTTGGTGATGAGTTAAGTACAACACCCAAAGCACAATCCTTGAAAGAAAAAAGATATGCTGGGGCTTTGTAAAATTGGAAATTTCTGCTCTGTGAAAGATACTGGTAATAGAATAAATAATCATACCTTCAATAGGTGAATATATAAAAAACCTGTGTTACATTCACACAATGGAATACTATGCAATGATATAAAGAATGAGCTATCGAGCCATGTACCAATATAGATAAATCTTATTTTTGTTTTCATTGATTTTAGAGATAAAGGAAGGGAGAGAGAGAGACATCAATGTGAGAGAAATATTGATCATTACCTCCCATATTTTCCCTGATTGGGATGGAACTCACAACCTAGGTATGTGCCCTAGGTATGAACCTACAACCTTTTGCTGCATAAGACAATGCTCCAACCAACTGTGCCACCCAGCCAGGGCTAGATATACCTTAAATTTATATTGTGAAGTAAAAGAAGCCAGTCGGCTATATGATTCACTTTATATGATATACTGAGAAAGGTAACTCTGTAGATAGTAACAGGTCAGTGATTGCTAAAGAGTTCAATGTTAAGAGTAGTGTTGAATAAGTAAATTACAAGGGATCTTTTTATAAGAACTATAAAATACTCTGTGTGGTTGTAGTAGCACATAACACTAGGCATTTGTCAAAATCCATAGAGCTTTATAGCATGAAGTGAACCTTAACATATGCAAAATTTAAAAAAAAATCATCTAGAAGGTCAGGGAATTCCAGCATAGAATGTAGACTCTGACAAAATAATCTAATTTTAATATAAATATATGAAATAACCTCACTGAAGGATTTGAGAGAAAAAGCTTTGACCTAAGTAACTTTGACAACGAGTCTAGAGTATAAGACTGAAGACAGAGGCTATCTACATAAACATTTTTACTGTAGTTTATAAATGTGTTTCCCATGGGGAACATGTTAACAATGTATGAAACCACTGTATATGTAAACTGGAACTGAACATTTAAGTAAAAGAATAAGGGAGCTAGGTTTTCTCCCTGATGTTGTGAGGGTTTAGATTAGCAAGGTGAGAAGGCTACATTGATTCATTCAGTGATAGAGTTGAAGATATAAGTATGAAGCCATGCTTACCTTAAAATAGATATGATGGTGGCATAAATAAATATTTACATATATTTTGTTACACAGATCAATATATATCCATATATTTCTTTGCTCTGTCAGTTAAGAAATGATATTTCAGTAGCAATAAGGAGACCTAGCAACTACACTCCAGAAATTTGCCTACACATAATATCTTACTTCTAAAAAGTATAGTATGGAAAGGAAAATAAAGAATAATTTTATTGTGGGAAAATACTACCTTAGCCAGGTGATCAAGGTCAATGTCAACAGTGATAGGTTTTGGGAAATAGTGACTTTTCCCAAATAGCAAGTAAGAATTGTACAAAGCAAATTTCTAATTTGTTGGAACTTTCAAAATGTTGCAATGTTAAAAGTAATTGTTGTGTGCAAAAATCAATAAAGTAAATTTAAAGATCATCAGTTCAACTTTCTTATTTTATAGATGATCAAACAGACCAGTGGGGTTAATTAAAGTCATGCAGATCATCCAGTGAGTTAGTTATTGGCTGATCTGGGAATGGAACCTGTATGTTCAAGCTCATCTGTCTTTGCATTACTCCATTCCACACTAAAACAAATACTTCTATCCATCTGTGCTTTTCATATAAATTTTAAAAAATCTCCTTTCTTATCTACAAAGCCATTTCCTTCAATTTACAGCAAGACTTCTTAAAGTCATCTGTGCTAGTTATCTCCCAACCAGGTGAACAAAGCCCAGAACTTTGACTTACATTTACTTTTATCATAATAGAAAATTAAAGTTTTCGAACAACAGTTTTCAACATCACAGTCACATATGTTGGATAAGAATTCTTCTCCGTTTTATCAGAGTAATTTAAGCAATCAATTCTATTTCATTTTCAAAATTGGTACAGTTTGACAGGCAGGGATACTCACCACTATACTAACAAGGAAGAAGACAAAATTGGTAGTTTGGACAATAGTAATTTGGTCCACATATGACTTGTGTATATGTATATGTAAACACTAGAAGCCCAGTGCACAAATTTGTGCACTGGTGGGGGGTCGTGGCCTGCGGGGATCGGCCCACTGTGGGAGCATCACTCATCCTAAGCAGCTCCTGCATTGAGTGTCTGCCCTCTGGTGGTCAGTGCACCTCATAGCGACTGGTCAACCAGTCATTCTGGTCTTTCTGCCATTCGATCGCTGGGCTTTTACCATATATATATAGATACTCTGATGAACAGTGGGAGTTTGACAATCTGGAAGGATCTACAATCTGGAAGGATCACAATTTCTCATTTGATCACTTTAATTACACATAACTATTAACTACACTTCAAACATAGAAAGTGTCTGAAAAATATTACTGCAAAAAATCTATAGATTATATTTATTATCATAAGGTAAGCAAGAAGAAACAATCAGAAAATAACAGAGGGGGTACTTTCAAACATAAATATCCTATAGCTATTTTTCAGCTCCATTATATGATGAAAGCTGTGAAGAAATCAGTTTTAGGAATTATGAAGATTTCTTGAAATATGAATTTATATTCATTATCATTAATTTTAAACCTTGATCTAGGAATTTATATTAACTATTTGAGGTATAAACCATCCTGATTAGCAAGATATGTAAAATTAAAAAATAAAGACAACTTCCAATTGTTTTGCAACAATGAAAAGTAAGTCAATGCTTAATCCAAGTAGTTTATAAAATATCACTAAATATTAATAGCTTCATTAAATTTTAGAATAGTGATGATAATAACATTTTGAACATAGTATGTTCAAGGGGATATTTGAATACATAACACATATTATTTCATTTGGTCTTTAAAACAACTCTATAAAATAGTTATAATTATTATCCACCTTTTAGTTGATGATTAAACTGAATCACAAAGATTTGAAGTAATTTTTACAAGGTCCCACAGCTATTCTTGGTTGCAGGCAGTATGGAGGATTTTTGAAAATTATACTATCAGAGTAACATATTAATATAACTTATATAAAAGCTTTATAAATGTAAAGCATTTTAGATTGACCCTGTTTCATTATGTAGAAATAAGAAATAAGAACCATCTCTATTCTTAGAGTTTAATCTTCAGATTTAGCTGAAGAAATATGAAATGATCATACATAAATTTTCTCATTGCAGCATCGTTTGTAATGGCAACATTAGGAAATAACTCAAATGTCCATCATTTGAGGATTAGTTAAAATTATGGGATGGGGGGAAGGGAAGACAGCTATACAAAAGAATTAGTTCAACTTCTGTTATTTTATTAAGTAATGAAAAGAAAGATACAAAACAATGTGTATAATAGACTTTTTTTAAAAAGATGGGAAATAATCTATATTTACATGTATATTCACAAAGGCACTCTGGAATAAAAAAACAGGGTGGGAGGTACTAATAACATGTTACTTTGGGCAGTTTTGAAGACAGGGCTGGCTGGTGAGGGTACTGGAACAAAGGGATGTATTTCACTTTATATTTTATGGTTATTAATTATGCACTAATATTGCCTACTCAAAATTAAATTAGCCTAAAATTTAAAAGGCTATTTAAAACTATTGTATCACCAATGGTTACACTAACAAAGAGAGGTCGAAATATTCAGAAAATAATTTGCCATGGTATAAAATTAAGAATGAGAGTTATGAGATGTAAACAACTTT